CAACAATGTTTTAAGTATGAACAATATTAAAGTAAGTTGATTTTCCACTAATGGTTTGACTAAAATGATTACTGTGTTTTTTTTCCAGTTATTCCTCTTCCAATTGCTTCGAGGCCTAGCATATTGTCATCAAAGACGCGTATTACATCGAGATTTGAAACCTCAGAACCTTTTGATAACATCGAAAGGCGAGCTAAAGTTGGCCGATTTTGGACTAGCAAGGGCAAAATCGGTGCCAACGAAAACGTACTCGAACGAGGTGGTGACGTTATGGTATAGGCCACCGGATGTGTTATTAGGTGGGATTTTAATAAACGTGCGCTCATTGAAAGCGTCTTCGACTCACATATGGTTGTGGTATTACAGTATCTTCTGGGCTACCGTAATAAGATTACTTGAGGTGTCTTTACAAGATATCTTGCTCACAATCGTGCTTTTTCACTCTTTGACACTTTTATGAAGAGAAATAGGCGTGAAATAATTTTTTTGAGTGCGGTGCTAAAAATACGCATGAAGCGAAAAATTTACCCTATTACTGTGCAATCTCGTTTAAAAGGATCTAATGCGCTTTTAACATTTTAAGCAACGGAAAATGGTATTTTTTGTTAAGGCAGGTAGGTGAAGCTACCCAATACCTTCTACTTCCACATTTAATTTTTGATCTTCTTATTTTTGAAACAGTATAATGCAGTGTTGCAGAATTAATGAATCTCTTCTTGAAATCTTTTTCCATAGCATACGGTAATGATCAATACGAATTAATGGGTTTGTTGATGAGATTTTTGCATGCATTCGTGTTTCCTCATCAGGTTTCTTTAGCCTGACATCCATTTATGAGAGACATGCATTTGTAGTCATTCGAGCACATTTTTCCGAATGCATGAATCCATTAACTCTGGAACAGGTTGCATTGGAACATTTAGGGATTTACTAGGAGGGTTGAACATGGTTCTCCAAGCCATTTTTATGTTTTTTCTTTTTTTTTGGGGACATTAAAGGAGAATTTGGAAACAGTAATTATGTCATTTTCAGGATCTACCGATTATTCAACGCATATCGATATGTGGGGAGTTGGTTGTATTCTTTTTGAAATGACCGCTGGACGAGCGCTATTTCCCGGATCGACAGTTGATGAGCAATTAGGTTTAATTTTCCGGTAAGTTATTTGCTTATGTATAGGGCATTGCTAGAAATTACAAGCGTTAGAATAAATCCAAATCAAAGTAAAGAGCAACC